TCCCTCCCTCCTTCCCTCTCTCTCCCCCTCCCTCCTTTCCTCCCAGTTTCTCTCTTCCCCTCCCTCCCTCCCTCTCCCTCCCTCCCTCCCTCTCTCTCTCTCTCTCCACAAATGTTTTAGAGTTTGATAGGTAGCAATTTTATTTAGATAAAGAAAGATAAAGCGATAGCAGGCGGCAATCTCAGGTCATTGGCCATATCTTGAAGATATCCATGGTCGTAGATGGAGATGGCATTATTTTCCACCTCTCCTATACAAATGAGAAAAATAATAAGTTGATCAAAGTGAGTTTAAAGTAAATTCTTTCCTTTGCAAAGCTTTGTGAATGCAAACAATATCAGGCAGAGAATCTCATTATGTACTCTGTAGTATCTCTATTGGAGGAGAGTTTTCTTACCGTATACAGCACTTCTGTTGCGGCCCACAGTCCACCTGCCCAAGGTTAAAATATCTCGGAGGACATCCTTTGGGAAAGCAGCGTGCTCCTCGACGAAGACACCGTCGTTGGGCATTCCCTATGAAAAGGAAAAGAGGAGACAGGTAAACGATGAGTAAATATTCCTTAATATTTAAATATATTTTCCCTTCCAAGACACTACCTCCTTCTACAGAACTGCAGGATTCCTTTATCAATTTATATTCTTATTCATTTATAACATAAAAATATCAAAATAAAAAGCAAATAGTAAGGAACAACAATAGGGAAAGAGGAAATGTGGAAAGGGGGGGAAGAAACAAAAGGCGTTGACTTCCGATTCCCTGTTGCAATAAAATAAGGCATGAAAATCAAATCTCAACTTTTTGCATTTCTGTATTAGTATGAACTAGCCATTTCTCTATCAACAAATCAGTCTAATCAGTAAACCCCAAAATCATAGTATCATTTTTTCCACCTCAAGCACAAAGGCCAGAAGCAGTTTCCAAGCAGAAACAATAGTACTTATATTCCTTTCTTTTATCAAAACTGTCAGTTTAGCCAAATTCACTCAGTCAGTTTTCAGGCCCAAGGTGGGACTAGAACTCAGTACCCAGAGTTGTCGTGTTTTGCTCTAATCACTAGACCAAACTGTTTCTCCATTGTGCCTCCTTATTCAAACAAGATATATTTGGCTGAGAATTTGGTAAACCAATATTAAAGTGAAGTGTACTCAAAAAAAAAATAAGCTACAATAACAAAACCCCCAATAAAGTTATTTCAGGAATTGTGAATCAAAAGAAAAATCAATGGCATATTTATCTTTATCAAGTTCCAGGTTGTGCTGATATTAAGTCATCAGACAAAGTCATTCTTATTCTAAGGTGTATTTAAATGGTATCAAAATGGTATTTAACTTGACAAAAAATAATCTTAAGAATTTTTTTTCTGCTTCTTTCCAAGATCTTAGTGAAAAGCTTAAATCTGATTTTATACTATTTCTGCCCAAGCAACTACATTAGCTGGAAGACATCAGTGGCAAAGTAATCACTACAATAAATAAATAAACCAAAAGGGAAGAATGAGACTGTGTGAAATTATAGAATTATAGCACAAATTATAGCAAATTGTAGCACAAATTATAGCAAATTATAGCACAAAGTCCAGAAGCAGTATCCAAGTACAAACAAAAGTACTTATATTCTTTTCTTTTATCAAAGCTGTCAGTTTAGCCATCTCTGCTAACTCCATCAGCTTTTGTAACCGTTCATCCAAGATGGGAATGGAACATCCTTCCAAGAATTGCAGGATTCCTAGGACTACAGCAAGTTTTCTCTGACCACACAGATCCATCTCTGCTGATCTCCTGCAGCAGCTCAAATAAATCAGCCATTAACCCAGGTTTGAAGTCTGACTCAAAGATGAAATAGCTGGTAAGCCTACATCTATTAATGTAGGAGGGAAGAAATAATTCTATTTCATATGAAGGATAGACCTTACTGTGATATATTTCTCTCCAGTATTGCCATGGATCCTTGCTGAGTTACAGTGGCCAGTTGCATTGTGTGTTTTGGATGAAGACCTTGAGTGAGCTGAGAATTTGGTAAACCAATGTTAAAGTGAAGCAAATCAACAAAAATAAGCTATAATAACAAAAACCCCAATAAAGTTCTTTCAAGAATTGTGAATCAAAAGAAAAATCAATGGCATATTTTTCAAATATTTGGAGGCTCATGTTCTCAATAGTCTATACTGTTCAAAGCTATTTCTGTAAAGTAAAACAAAAAGATGTTGAAGATTATCCTGCTTTCAGTGAAGATCGTATTTGTTTAAAAAGGAGTGAGTTACCAATCCTTTGTAAATTATCAGTAATTTTGTTTCTTACCTGGTTCAGACAGGAATGCAAGGAAAAGAAATGTGAACAGCAGATAAAGGATCTTCATGCTGAGACTGGTTCTGGACCAAATCTTACTCCTGGGGCAGAGGTTGCTCTCTATTTATGGAGTTATAATGATTGCATCATATCACCTCAGTGAACTGTTGCAAAATAGTTCTTACATAAGGCAACGGTGCATCTTCCTTGTATTGAAACACTCCTGTTTGTTAGCTGTTACAAAAGCCCTGAGAAGAGCAGCAGACTTAGTTGAACATCTAACCTGCTATGGCTATAAAAGATGGGAGGCTCAGGACTTGCAAGAAAATTCCTTACTGAATTGCTGCCCAAACTCTACAGTCCATGATGATAATGCTCGGCCATGTTCACCAATGGCTGGACTTTGGGAAAAGCCCTTAGAACTAAGTGGTGGAAATCTGGGGTTGGCACTGCTATCATGGGCGACACATTTTTATGGGTGGGTTTTGGGAAAACAGCTGCTCTGCTTCCTGGTGGGTCTTTGTGGCACTCAGATGAAGCACAGACTGATTTGGCTTTCGTTGAAGTATTCCTCCCTCATCCAGGTGATTTCTATTTCTCTGAAGACAGAGAATATATGCAGAGTTCGAGATATCCCTTCAGTCTTAGTTAAGGGTTAATAATAATAATAATGATAAAGTTGGAAGGGACCTTGGAGGTCATCTAGTCCAACCCCCTGCTCAGGTAGGGAACCCTATACCATTTCGGACAAATGGCTGTCCAGTCACTTCTTAAAAACTTCCAATGTTGGAGCGTATTCACCACTTCTGGAGGCAGGTTGTTCCACTGGTTAATTGTTCTCACTGTCAGAAAGTTTCTCCTTAGTTCCAGGTTGCTTCTCTCCTTGATGAGTTTCCATCCATTTCTTCTTGTCCTGCAGCCCCTGAGGTACTGGAACGCTGCTATCACATCCCCCCTCATCCTTCTCTTCATTAAACTAGACATACCCAATTGCAGCAACCGTTCCTTATATGTTTTAGCCTCCAGTCCCCTAAGCATCTTTGTTGCTCTTCTCTGCACTCTTTCTAGAGTCTCAACATCTTTTTTACATTGTGGTGACCAAAACTGGAGGCAGAAGTCCAAGTGTGGCCTTACCACTCCTTATTAGGAGTCCTGTGGGACACAGAAGATCAACTGAAATTGAGAAGGAGAACTGGGTTCCAAAAGCTGTGAGTGTTGGTTACATTGAATGTTTCCTGCTGCTTCAGTTACAAAGGATCTCATGGGGGCCATATTTTTTTATTACTTATCTCTAAATTTCAGTGGTGAGAATATGGCTTTACACTTAGGCAAGAAAAAATGAATGCACAGGTATAGAATAGGTGATATGTGGCTCAATAGGAGTAACTGTGAGATTTTGGCTCCAGAGGTTTTGGGTGCTCCATCACTGGAGGTTTTTAAGAATAATTTGGAAAGCCATTTGTCTGGAATGGTAGGGCTTTCCTGCTTCAGCATGGGATTGGACTAGCAGGTCCCTGCCAAGTCGGTTATTCTGTAAGTTCTGTTGGTTCTCAGGTGTCGCATCCAGTTGCCATGGATGCTGTAGAGATTTAGAGAGGATTTCAAAGTGAAGCACAACCTTTTTCCCATGCCCTGAATAACACAGTAACTTAAAATCTGTTTTCACAAAACAAAACACTCAGACTTAGTTACATATAAAATCATCCTAGTTTCACAAACTAAATATGACTTTTCAACATTTGCCTATTTTTCACCATCTTTTTCTCTTTTGTCTTTTTTTCTTCTCCCAATCTGTGATACAATTGCTCTGAGAAAGGATCCTTACACTGAAGGATGAGAAGAATAGAAAAAAAACCCACTGAAAGATTTAACAATTTCTGTGTTAGATGCAGAAATATAATACAGAAAATGTTAAGTAATCAAGATGCAAAGAATTGTTGCAGTGAAAAAGCATCCTTGGAGGGTCTCTCAGGGAGTCAATATTGAGCCTGGTTGTTGGTGAGCAATGGGTTGAAAGTTCCCAGCAATGAGTGGAAAAGGTGGTTGTTGAGCCACATCTACTAAGCCTTGCCTTGAGGGCTGGAGCCAATTTCTGTGGACTCCCATCAAATAGCCTTGATACAGGACCTGATAGAAGATGAACATGCAAAATTAGAAATCAATTAACCACAGGTGGACTAAAGAGTAGGAGACCAGTGAGACTGAAAATGGCAAAATTGGCAGCCCTAAGAAGAAAGGAAATTCATATTTAATAATGTGGTTCTTTGCCCAAGAACCACAGAAAGCAGTTAATGAGGAAATTGTGGGAGCTGCATCAATAAAAGTGCCTTGAAACCTTGAAATAATGTCAAACTCCTGCTATTCCCCAAGAAACGGACAATTACTTTGTGTAATGAGTGGGTGCAGCAACGGTAATGAGGAAAGCACAGATGCAAACTGACTTGGTGTTTAGTAATCAAGTTAAGTAAGGTAGAGAATAATAAAATAAGTGGAGACTAGGACTTAAATTTAGGTTTAAAAATAATTGAGGAACACTCCATGGTCCCTTCCATCCCATTTTTGTTCATTTGCTTGAGAGTGTGTTTGGAGCTCAATGGAGCCATGAGAAGTAGGATTGATATGTACCAAAACTGAAGAAAAAGGTGATGCCAATATGACATTTGGGTTGCATGTGCTGTTAAGAGGACTTGGATCCTATTCTCATAATAATTATCTGATTTTAGATGAGTCAAAGTCAAAAGTGATGGTCTTTGGGAAATGACAGCATTGCCCTATAGGGCTAATCGATGAGGAGGCAACAGAGCAAGTTCACACCTTTCCTCACCTGGGGGAATTTTCTCTGGGACTGGATCTGGGCTCCCTCAACATCAAAGGAGCTCACTCAGAAGGCACAAGTGAATGCACTGTTCATTTTTTTTATTAAAAAAAAATCATAGGTATGCAACTTCCTTAGACTGAATTATTAAATACAAAATATCACCGTTCTATTATGCACTTATATTGAGCTGAACTTTGGGATTTAATTTATATCACTATTAGAAGAAATCAGATCACATATCTGAGAAGTATCTTGAGGGTGGATGAAAGGACTTCAACTGCTGCCCTCAGAGCAGAATTGGGAATTTATACAATTTATAAAATTGGGGTATATAAATATTTTTATTAAAATTAATGGTATGGAAAATAATAATAGTAATAATAGGGATGATGATGATGATGATATTGGAAGGGACCTTGGAGGTCATCTAGTCC